GATGGATAGATAAGTAGATAAATGGATAGATAAGTAGATAGATGGATAGATGGATAGATGGATAGATGGATAGATAGATAGATAGATAGATGGATAGATAGAGTAGATAGATGGATAGATAAGTAGATAGATGGATAGATAAGTAGATAGATGGATAGATAAGTAGATAGATGGATAGATAAGTAGATAGATGGATAGATAAGTAGATAGATGGATAGATAGAGTAGATAGATGGATAGATAAGTAGATAGATGGATAGATAGAGTAGATAGATGGATAGATAGAGTAGATAGATAGATAGATAGATAGATAGATAGATAGATAGATAGATAGATAGATGGATATTGCTTATAATGACATATAATTAGGGCTGGGACTTGATTAAAAGTTTTATTCTAATTAATTACAGACTTTGTAATTAATTAATCTCAATTAATCGCATTTTAATCGTTCAGGAAAATGTGCTCTCAAAGTTCGTTCGTTCGTCTTCCTCCGCTTATCCGGGTCCGGGTCGCGGTGGCAGCATCCCAACTAGGGAGCTCCAGGCCGTCCTCTCCCCGGCCTTGTCCACCAGCTCCTCCGGCAGGACCCCAAGGCGTTCCCGGACCAGATTGGAGATGTAACCTCTCCAACGTGTCCTGGGTCGACCCGGGGGCCTTCTGCCGGCAGGACATGCCCGAAACACCTCCCCGGGGAGGCGTCCAGGAGGCATCCTGACCAGATGCCCAAACCACCTCAACTGGCTCCTTTCGATCCGGAGGAGCAGCGGTTCTACTCCGAGTCGCTCCCGAATGTCCGAGCTCCTCACCCTATCTCTAAGGCTGAGCCCGGCCACCCTACGGAGGAAACTCATTTCGGCCGCTTGTATCCGCGATCTCGTTCTTTCGGTCATTACCCAAAGCTCATGACCATAGGTGAGGATTGGGACGTAGATCGACCGGTAAATCGAGAGCCTGGCTTTCTGGCTCAGCTCCCTCTTCACCACGACAGATCGGCTCAGCGTCCGCATCACTGCAGACGCCGAACCAATCCGCCTGTCGATCTCCCGATCCCTCCTACCCTCACTCGTGAACAAGACCCCGAGATACTTAAACTCCTCCACTTGAGGTAGGACCTCTCCCCCGACCCGGAGGTGGCAAGCCACCCTTTTCCGGTCGAGAACCATGGTCTCAGATTTGGAGGTGCTGATCCTCATCCCAGCCGCTTCACATTCGGCCGCGAACCTACCCAGCAAGAGAAACTTTTAATTAAAATTATGAGACAGAGAATCAAACATTAGACATGGTTATTACTGTAAACTAAAGCTTTTAATAAAAAATGTTTTTTAATTAATCAAATGTCACTGTGTGATATGAAACAAAACCCAAATCAACTAAAATTTATAATTACAAATAGAAAACACCTGCAAAGGGTTCCTGAGCCTTTAAATAGTCTCTCTGTCTAGTTGAATGACTGAAATAAAATTGACTTTGCACCAGATTCTAATTTTTCCAGTTTCACTTGTTTGTATAATTGGGAGTAGGGCTGCTCGATTATGGCAAAAATAATAATCACGATTTTTGTGACTGAAATTGAGATCACGATTATTTAGGACGATTTTTCAATTTATGTTGATTTTATTTGTTTTTATTCAGTCATAAAATTGCTCAGGGCACAATCAGGACAAAAATAAGAAACAAGATGATCACTAAAATAACTCCTGATTCCCAGGATAAAAAGACCAATATACTTGTAGCTCATAGTTTATGACCCAAGGTCTATAGACCTTGGTTTAACTCATTTAAGTCTAACAGTACAGACCCAAATACCAATATCTTGCAAATACTGACAACAAGAATTATACAGTGGCATTTATAACAAATACATGCAAATAAATTGATGTTCACAAAATGTTGCATAATACGTATTTAGTCGTGTCAATGTGCTGCTGGAGAGTGCACTAGCACCGTGTCCTCAGAGAGATTAGTTATTATTTATCAGCGTGAGGAACTTATTTCTACCTTATTTATAAATTATTTATTTACAAGTCCATCAGTTAATGTAATAATTGTCCCAACCACAGCTGCACCCCCCACCCCCCAACCCGGTCTCACAGCAATCAGGGCAAGCTGCTCGTGTGTTTAGCACGCTGCACGCGCACATTTAGCCGTTTTAGTGGCTCAGGAGTCCGCAGGTGCGGTGTGTGTGTCACTCACTCTGGTTAATCCAACAGGGAGCCGGCTCCGAGAGCTGTCTTTAGCGACCGACACATCACTACATCATTCCCTTTCCTAATGTCCTGAAGAACGGTCCGGAGAGCAGGCGGAGTGTTTAGCTAACCTGCAGGAAATGTCGACGACAGTTATCCAGAAAGTAGCTAAGGGTTACCAGAGATGTTTCTGAGGTGTTCGCTAGGTACTTTTAAGTTAAAAAGTCAAGAAGGGGGTCTGAAAAGCTGCTAGAAATAGCGTCAAAGTCACAAAGTTGGCAACACTGTGGGAGGAGCGCTTCATTTGCAACTCGGCGCAGCGCAGGCGGGAGGAGCAAATAATCGGCTTGTTTTGTTTTTTATAATCGTTCAAAACTCAGATCGTAATCGTGATTAAAATTCGATTAATTGAGCAGCCCTAATTGGGAGTTTTTATTAGCATTCTACTCATAATGTAGTAAAAACACATATAAATAATAATCCTTCAAATGACAGTAGAACAGGCACAGATATGATCTAGGACTTAAATGTACTAACTTTTAACACCAGAGCAGGCGTGACATATTCTGAGAATGATCAGGAACACTAACTGGTTCCAGTTGGATGACTGGAGGATGATGGGATGATAAAAGATCATGGCAAGGAAATAATGATCTGATGAACAGATGAGCGGACCTTCCTTATATGGGAAGTCCTGATGTCATGTTAAGAAGAGGATGCTGCAGACCCGCAGATTCACGCCTGCAGCAGTGAATCTGGTGTGATCTCCAGCCTGATCACAACTTCCTCGTTCCTCGCTGCCCCTGATGCACTTAAGCATCCGCCCCTTAGCTGATGACAGCTTCAACACACCTGCTGCTTAATGATAGTAATGCATGCGATGTTTACACAGTGACTCGTCTCAGAATGGTATAACTCCCTGACATAATTGTTTAGAAAATCATCAGAAAAGTTTCAGAGTGTTTCTGTTTTAACTTAAACGTCTGTTTTCAACTTTAAGACACGTTGTTTGTGATCGTTTACAGAGTAGTGAGAACACAGAGCGTTCTCCCAGCGGCAGCCAGGTGCCTCTCGTTTGTCTGACTACTCTCATAAACTACTGTTAGGTCACAGAATTATTCTGTCTGGTGCTTTCAGCGCTGCACAGATGTTACGTAAATGTTAAAAATATAGCTAACCGCAACATTTGTAAAGTTCCCATTGCCACCGTGCAGCTGCAGCAGAGACGATCTCTGAAAAATGTCCACCACACGGACTCCGTTGTTGTCTGGAAGTTTTTTATTTCCAAGTTAAGAAAAGAGGCGGACGGGTTTCCTAAATCCTGCATCAGTCCAAGCAAGGCAACTTCTTTCTGTTTTTATTCCGTTTTAGTAGCCATTAGCACTGTGCATTGTTGTGTGTGTCAGTGATATTCAGTCTATGAGGAAATCGTGCAATGACAAAGGTTCCGCCTTGCTTGAAATGCAAGCTGCGATTAAATGCGTTAATTTTTTTAATGCATTATTTTTTTCTAATGAATTAATCGTAATTAAAGCGTTAAAGTCCCGGCCCTACATATAATATATATATAAATCTATACATTGTAATGTGGTGGATGGCATACTGTAGCTGCCCCTGGCACCATGAAGAAAAGAACGGAGAGCCTCGACTGGTGCATAACTTTTATTCGTTTCTCTGGTCCAAATGCCTTGGACTTCACTCCATGAGTTGCACCGTGAAAACTGTTTAGAGATATACAAAGCATAAATAAAAGGTGAACACAACTTCAATGTCATAACAGAAATAGATTATATTCTCACATTTACCTTGCTCCGCTGGCCAAGGGTGCTAAACAAAACAATAATTCCTTAAAGCTGCTTAATCTGTAGATTGGACTCGGTGATGGACAAGAAAAACAAACAATGACTAAAGAGTGTCAAACTAATAACCCAAACAAAAGCGTCAATACAGCAAAACTTACGTGGGGATGCAGTGGGCAATGTGCAGCTGAGGTGAATTTAGGCTAAAGACATGATTTTAATACTTCAAACGGTGTTATCTTCTCTACAAACGTATTAACCCAAACAGTTTTCTCTGGAAGGGTGTGGCTTATATAAATTCTGTGAGCCAATTAAGGGTCATTGCCATCAGCTGCTCAGCTGGCAGCTACACATACTATAAAGTGGATCAAGCAAAAATAGGAAAAAGAAGAAGTAATTTAAAATGAGCAAATACTACAAGAACTATTCCTGGTCAGCTTTTATGAAAGTTAGAATACGGCACATGAACACCAAAGCAACATCTAGTTTATGGAGGTTGTAGTTGCAACAACAGAACAAGGCTTCGCCAGCAGGTTTGCTGCTGGTATGTGAAATGTTTGATTTGGGTCCATCTGTGGAAGGCTTCACCTAGACTCACTCTGGTTTTTGATCTTTCATGGTCGCTCCTCTTCTGAGAACGATAATGACATCTTCTGAGCTCAGAAGCAACTGCTTGACTTGCCGAGTCCGCCATTTTCCACAGGTCCAGCCAAGTTGTGCCAGCGGCCTGTTTGGCAACACAATGGCGCCCTCTATTGGCTGGTAGATGTAAACATACACCCGGTGTTGTGTCCGTCAGAATAAATATTTAACTATTTTTAATTCAAATATAGCTTTTGAAGCAAATACTGTACCTTCGTTCTGCACACTCCAAATGCCCCACGGAGGTGTTCTATTTAAAATATGTAGCTTTTATTAAATTGTTCCTTTTTCAACCTTTAATCTAAAAGCTTGATTGTGCACTGCTGAAATGGAAATTTTAAGCAGTGTCTAAATTATGTCAGTTATTTATGTTATGCTTTTCCATTTCTTACAGGTCACCAGCTGTAATCATGGAACCATTACCAGTATAAACCTCTACACGCCATCAGCCTTTGGACACGGGGAGGCTTACGGTGAAATGATGAACTCATCGTAGACTCCAGCGAACAGCAGACAGCTCTAACGTCTGTCACCTCCACCGTGGCCACACCCACTTCTCTTTCCTTCAGTTCCTCTTAAACATCACAATTTCCTCCCGTCTAGCTTTCCCGTCTAGATTACTGGATGGAAATCTGGACTCCAAGATAACACGATAACACAAAAAGCTTTTAGAGAAACATTTGTGTTGAAGTTACCTTACTACACATTTTTCCTTTCTTTTGCTATCGCTTGGTCTCACCGGCACCTACTGATGGAGAGACGAAGGAGAGAATCAGGATAAAAACAAGTTTCAGTGAACTAAAAGGAATAGGCTAGAAACGGTATAGTGACCTGAGTCCTTTGAGTAACGCTTCTGGAAGGATTGCCCTCTGGGATTTCTTTTTATTCCAGCTTTGTGATAGAAAAACATTTTGTTTTTATCCACAGTGACATTCACATTTAGCTCTGCGATCTATTAACCTATCTAGGAATCAAAGAGAGACAGGAAACTATATGCATTTTAGCATGACGAGGGGGTTAAGAGTCCCATGTTGGCCCCTGTGGCTCCTTGCCCTGTTTAGCATTCTCAGCACAGTGAAGATGTTGGAATTTGGTGGGGCACCAGGGCAGTATGCCCGCTATGGACGCTGGGAAGCTGGATCAGTGGGCGAGCTTAGTTTCAGTTTGAAAACCAACATCAGCCAAGCCTTAGTACTCTACCTAGATGATGGTGGGAACTGTGACTTCCTGGAACTACTGACTGCTGGTGGACGACTTCAGTTACGCTTCGCCATCCATTGTGCTGAACCAGCCATCCTGCACATGGAAACACGAGTGAATGATGACCGCTGGCACATGGTTTTACTCACCCGTAACTTTCGTGAAACCTTACTAATGGTTGACGGAGAGACAAAAGTTGCTGAGGTCAAGTCGAAGAGGAAGGAAATGGCAGTGGTCAGTGACCTGTTTGTGGGGGGAATCCCACCTGATGTACGCCTCTCTGCTCTGACTTCCAGCACTGTGAAGTACGAGCCACCCTTCCTGGGCTTGATCTCTAATTTGAAAGTGGGAGAGATACCGCCAAAGTTGTTAAACAGCCATGGAATTGAGAGTGATCTGGAATACCTCTGCACCAAACAGAATCCATGCTTCAATGGAGGGTCTTGTTCTATTCACCATGGGGAAGTTCACTGTGATTGTACCCACACCCACTACAAGGGAAAGTACTGCAAGGAAGGTAAGGAACATCCTGATATACTTTTTGACTTGGTAAAATGAGCAGAGTTCATTCACAGGTAGACTTCCTGTACTGCCTTGGCTTTTAGGTCTATAGTTTGGGATTTTTCTTCCTAATCAAGATGATTTTGGCACTATGGAAAGATCATTCTACACGGTTAATCTGGTTAGTTGAGTCAAGGTAATCTGCCTTATCCAGTCAGAATAATTTGGAAAACTGCAGGAATGCCCAAATGTGGTCATGTTTCAACATTCTAGCTGATGGCAGTCAAATATTTTTTCAAGAATTTGTAGCATGATGCTGCCACTACCATGCTTGAGAACTGTTTCAGTGTTTTTAGTTCTGAAAGCCCTAATCTTGACTACTCCTGGTAAACATTTGTCATTGTGGCCAAATAGTTCAACCTTTGATATGACCATAACTCTTTTCCCTAGAAGACATTGGTTTCATCTGTGAGGACAGCTGTGTCGTTTGACCTTTGAGGTATCGTCCCTCTATCATCCCTCAGTCTAGCAGTTTTTAGTTCAGAAAATCTAAATGAAATTTAAAATTCTAAACCTAGTTCTTATTTTTGAAAGTCACTAAAGCTGACCGTAATTGTAGCTGCTGTATCTGGACTGTTTTTGTTCTACGGAAGTGGTTGTTGGGAGAGTCAGGACAGCAAAAGCTAAATAGCAGATTAAAGTTTCATGTGGTTTGCTATGAAGGGATTTAATTATTTTATTTTACAGATTTGACAGTTCTTTGTTACTGTGGCTGGTGTTTGAACAACCTGACTTACAAGGCCTGAGTTCCAGCAGAAATACAGTAGTGGTGTTTTACCCAATGTGGGGATTTCTTGTATAAACTACCTAAAAATAGAAATGAAAACAACCTAATTAATAGAACTATGTCTGCCTTTGTATTAAAGCAAAAGTTATTCATTAAATATATGTTTGGTCTTTGTTTGCTATTTAAAATGAGATGTAAGCATTTTATTGAAATGTCAACAACATGATTGATTTAACCAGTGTCAACTGCCCTTGTCCTTCACTGACACTCTGATTGGTTACGCCACTTAGCCTAATCCACTTTCAAACACACCCACACACACACACACACACACACACACACACACACACACACACACACACACACATGGACATATTCTATAAAATACAGATACACACACACTTACCTGTCTTTTCCATGTAAGTGGTTGCGGTCCAACATGCCACTAGCATAATAAAGGCAACAGGAGCAATATCCCACATCCATCTTGCTGTAGAGTAAAACTGCTCTGGTATGTAAGGGCATCAGGATCACCTATTCTATCTGCTTCAACTGCCAGGACAGGATAGGGTAAAAAATTTAATAACTGACTTGAAATGTAATGATAGCGTTTCTTCATTTCTGGGATGAAAAACGTCGGACTTGGCTGTTGGTGGACGGGAACTTGTGCACTACAATGGTGGTATGTTTCGTGGCCATTTTGAAACGCTTTCACATTGGGTGGAAATAAGCTGCATGTGTTCATACATCCGGTTTAATGACATCAGAAAATGTCCTACCTCTTCTCAGACAGTCTAGTGCTGACATCATAATAGAGCGCTCTCTTAAAGGGACAGTACATAAACCAAAATGCCAATTCTTCAGAATGAATCAGGGTCAGGTGAAGCTTCAAAACCACGATGGTCAGAAACTGTCACACAGATATTGTTTACATGTTTTATCTGGAGGATCCCAGTTGTTTACAGCTATTGACAGCTGCAGGTTATCAGAATACTGCTGTAAACAGTGTAATCTGGACATACAGTAGCAAGAAAAAGCAAACATCATTTATTCATTCACTTAGCAGCAGCATCGCCTCTAAAATCACCAGAAACATGGAAGTCTCTTGATGTTTTATCACAAAGCAGAACTTCATTTCATGTAGTGCTTTTTCTGGTATATTATTTTCTGCTGCCTCAGTCTCTGTTTTCTTTTCTTTCCGAGTCATTTGTGTCCATCAGTCCTCGCATTTCCTTCCATCTTTACTTGTGAGATGTCAGCTCATCTCAGTCTCCGCTTTTTAAAACGCCTGCCTCCCATCTTCCTGTTTACTTGTCTGTGCTTTCCACCTATTTTCCACATGGATCCGTGTTTGTGTTTCTCCTTTTCCTCCTCTGTTTTTCCCTGTCGTTTCCTCTCCTCAGCTGTCTAGGCTCTGCACCTCTCTTCACCTCACCCTCTCCTGTCTTTGCCTCCTTCACCCCTCTTATCTGCTCACCTGTAACCGCTGACAACACTTCACAGTCCTTGCTCTCCTCTCCTCCTCTCCCTGCACTCATCTCTCTTCTCTTGCTTTCTTCTGCCTGAATCTCCCAACCCTACGTCCAGCTAATCATCTAGTGTGACATCATCGGCTGGCGCAGAACCCCGAGCCGGCCGTGTCATTTGGAGTCATAGGATGTCCAAGGAAGGTCTCGCCTTTCTTATATCTGATTGGTTGGAAGGGCTCTTCTACAATTGGCTATTTCAGCAAAGCTTCTTCTGCAGGTTTGGTTTTAATGTCAGCAGGTTTGATCTTGAAGAGTTGTGTGAGGAAAATATGAACTTAGTCTTATAATATTCATTTTGTCCTGTTTTGCAACCTAGCGGTTTCAGTTTGTTTTATTAAAGAACATGAAAAACATCAAATGTGAACTTGTAATAAATCTTGTGGCATTCATCCCACTGTTAGACTGGCTTTATATCTGTTGTAGCTCTTGGTTATTTATTTATTTATTTAAGTTCTTCATTATTTTTATTCTAGAAGTGGCTCTTGCCTGTGTTTATGTTGGATTGCTGTCTGGTTGCTGGGAGCCAGGGGCGGAGCTTGATATGTGCAACATGTGCGGCCGAACAGGGCGGCAGTCTGCAGGGGGCGGCATTTAATTTCCTTTTTTTTTTTTTCTAAAAAAAAATTTTTTTTAGCATCAACCAATAAATAAACAAAACATAGAAATCACATGTTCTTAATAATAATAGTGATGAAAATAATAATATTTCTGTAATAAAAGCACAACAAAGTGTAACCCATATCAACTACTCCCTGTCACATGACCCACGTCAGCTGATGTGAGGTCCCTCTCCTGATTGGCTCCTTCCACGTCGCGGCAACCATGAAAGCTGCTCCTGCCGTGGCTGTAAGCTTGTTGCTTGTAGAACGGCGTTGGAAAACAAAGCATTTTTCTCCCCTCAATTCATTTATACTCTCATTTTACCTCAGCGGTAAGTGTGCTTAACATCTACCAATAACACCCTTTTACTTGTCAGTGACCAGTCGATCGTTTTCGCTGTAAAAAATGACCTTGTTCGGCGGAGTTCCCACCGCGAGCAGAACTCCGGTTCAAAAACGCTGTTTTTGAAACACTTTTATTTACTTAAGCACTTTAATGGGCTCAACTTGAAACCAAGAGCAATCGAATGATTATTGTTATGTGTTGCCTTGAATTCGGCTATGCTGTCTGTCAGACACTTGTTTTCCTTTATTGTTGTTTTTATATTTGTTTGTAGCAAACGCTACTGGAATGCATAGATTGAGCTACGTAGCCAAGATGATTAATAATTGACCTGTTGTACATTCGTGATATGTTTACCGGGGGGGGGGGGGTGTCACAGGGGGATCTCGCACAGGGCGCCATTTAGGCCAGCTCCGCCTCTGCTGGGAGCGTCTCATGTTGTCTGGCTTCAGGCTAAATTCAAAGCAGGAAATCAATGCTGGACTGACTGTAAGAAATGTTTGTTCTTTTAAAATCCAGAGAAGGAGATGGAGGTAAAGAAGCAAAAAGAACAGAAGAACAGAATTAAAGTGAAAAAATATTGGTGAGAAATAGAGCAAGAGCAACACAGTCACATTACTTTTCTCAGTGTTGGATCGTTTTTAGGAATGCTCGATGTTACCTTTATATACTGATTCTGTCTGGCTCTTAATTTCCAAAACTGAAAATATAAACTGATACCAACAAAGTGCTGTCCTCCTCTCATAAAAAACAAAAACATTAATAAAACAACTAAAACATTTTTAGCTAACATCACATATCCATCATGCATGCTTAAACCTTTAAATGACAACTACTTACATTTACGTAATAGGAAAAGTGCCATATTAACTTTTTCTCCAACAACAGTTGAATCTCAAGATGTCATCACTGTCTGATGATGGGTGATATGGACCAAAATAATACATCTCAGGCCTGACAAGTTCTGTATCCTGTCCATGTCTTCCCTGTCCCTTCTATACTCCATCTCCCTCTCAATGACCTCTGACCACTGAGTTTCCCTAGAAGTTTAGTTCTTTTCTAGTTATTCATTCTCCTGCTGGTTATCCCTCAGCCAGCTTCTGTTGCCCTTTGGCCGCCCTATTTTACCGGAACTGTACTGTTCCATTTTCTCCCAGCATCCTGCCTCCCCTAGTGTAGTTTAATTTCCCAATATCAACTTCTGTTAGTCTTTATTAGTTATCCTCCTTGGTTGTTTATATTCTCTTCCGGTTATTTACTTTCCAGTTATTGTGTACTGATTTGGATTAAAGAATTTAATTGCCACCTTACCTGGCTACCTACAGGATTTCTGCATTCGGGTCCTACAACAACAACGACTTCATTTTACGACTGGACCAATACTTGTTGTGTCGTCTTGATAATGGATATTGTGTCTAGCAACACAGTTATGGTTGAGCAGGGAGTACAGTATGGGGCTGAGTACACAGCCCTATAGCGTTTGGGTATGTAAGGCAAGTAAGGGGGGGGGCTGTGCTTATTTACCTCACTGCTTGTGGCTTGTGGTGGGGAAGGAGAATAGCCATCAGCATAGATTTGTCCCAAGCCCTAGATTGCTGAGCTTCAGCACACGTTTGGATGGAATCAATAAACATACCCTTACCTAAGTGTTGCCTCTTGCTAGGTGGATGAGGGCATTGCTGATGGGTCTGTTTGCTCTGTATATAAATTAAAGAGGGTCCAGTGTGTCCTTTAACCAGCTGCTCAAGGCACTTAAGC